GTCTGGGACTTCCATGGCATGTCCTCATGTTGCTGGTGTAGCAGCATATGTGAAGTCATTTCACCCAGATTGGACTCCTGCTGCAATCAGATCTGCTATTATAACAACAGGTGAGAGAATAAATCTTATTTCCACTTTTATTAGTTGATTTGTTAACATCTCATGCTCAATTTGAATGCCTTGCACCGCAAGTCATAACTTCAAATTTTTTTTGAGATGGCTGACTTTGTTTATTATCCTTGTTAAGCCAAACCTATGAGCAGGAGACTTAACAATGAAGCAGAATTTGCCTATGGTTCTGGTCAATTAAACCCTACAAAAGCTTTGAGCCCTGGTTTGGTCTATGACATGGATCACTTTGCTTATATCCAGTTCTTATGTCATGAGGGTTACAATGGTTCCAGTTTATCAGTATTTGTTGGTTCTCCTGTAAACTGCACCTCTTTGCTTCCTGGGCTTGGCTATGATGCTATCAACTATCCCAGCATGCAACTTAAATTGGAAAGCAACAAAAGCACAACAGTAGGAGTTTTTAGGAGAAGAGTGACCAATGTAGGTCCTGCTCCAACCATCTACAATGCCACCATTAGATCACCAAAAGGAGTGGAAATCACAGTGAAGCCCACTAGCCTAATTTTTTCTCAAACCCTGCAGAAGAGGAGCTTCAAAGTAGTTGTGAAAGCCAAATCTATGGCAAGTGTGCAAATTGTATCAGGTTCTCTTATTTGGAAAAGCCCACGTTACACTGTGAGGAGCCCTATTGTTATCTACAGTCCATAAGGTTATATTTGGCAGTGACCTAAACCATGGCTTTACAATTTCCTTTGTAGTACTTGTTTTGCATAATGTGGACATTTTGTTCATCATATTATTACGGATCTCTGGTGATGTCTGTATCTAATGGACAATTATCAAATAAAAAGGATGTTATAATTCAAGTTAATTTTCATGAAATGGAGGAAATGATAAAACAGATCCGTGATATCAAGTTGCTTCGTCTGGGGTAAATTATATATAATTTTTTGGTTTAGTTTTTTTTTCCGGTCAATGTAGATAAGTTATCAATACTGAGTCCAAAACGACGTCGTTTTAGGGCGGAAATCAAGGTAATTTTGTAATTATAATTTATTTCTGGGTTATAATAGTCTTTCTCATTATAATTTTTTAATTTTTCAATTCAAAATGATGTCGTTTTGAGAGTGAATAGATAATTTATCTATATTCACTATAGAAACATTAAAACATAATTTTTTTTGCATGCATTGTTATTACTATTTAGAAAAAAAATAAACTAACTAATACGATGTAGTGTTGATATATTTTAAAGGATTAATTTATTTATTTTTAGCTCAATCTTATTGGAAGAAGAGAGAAATAAGTGAAAGATATAATAGCCCTAACCCAATTAATTAGCAAACTACATGTAATTAAATAATTAAGCATGTTTTAGTGAGTAAAATTAAGTATAAGGCTTAATTAAATGAATGTGAGTCACTCTGGAGTTAAAAAGTGTACTCAGTGAAAATTAAGGGGTATAAATGGGTGTAGGCAAAAGTACCCAAAATATAAAAATAAAAGTGGAAATATTCCTAGAAAAATATTCCAGACTTTTGGGTAAAGTTTGGTAATTAATGGAGTCAAATAGATAGACGAACTAATACCCACATGTTACCACTTAACTTATCTTAAGTGATAAAACAAGAAAGAAACCCAACCCCCCCCCCCCCCCCCCACACAAGAAACCGTCGACAGAAAGGGGAAAAGAAAAAGAAGAAGGAGAGGGGAAGAGAGAGAGGAAACCATAGAGTAAGCAAACATTGGCCAAATCAACTCATTCTAAAGCCTAAACCACTCCAAATCTTTTCCTCTTTCATAATCCTAGCTTAGTTTTTGGTGGGGAGCATTGTGGAGTGGGATATCCTCCTCCAAAAAATTCGGCCCATTGGAGAAATTGAGGTGTTTGAGAGCTTCAACCTCCATTGGAGCTTGAGGAGCCATCAATCCTTGGTTGTGTGACCATTGGTGGTAAGATTCTAACCCTTGAACCTTGTTTTCTTGGAAAATTTCATGGTTAGGGTTTAATGAATAGTGTTTTAGGGTTTTTATGAAATGTTGATAGATTGGCTATGTTCTAGGCGTATTGGAGCTTAGTGTATGTTATGAGAAATGCTAGGAATGATGATTAATCGGAGAGAATGAGCCTAGATAGTTATATGACTATACTTTGAAAATGGCAAGATTTAATGCTTGATATTGGATTTTCTTGCATTAATGATAAATGGTTTGGTTTGGTTGATTGATGATTGTGTCCTAATGATGTCTAGGATTGAGGCATTTGGACCAACAGTATGTGATCAACCATTGGAGCAAGCAAAGGAGCTTGATTAGCTCTTTGGGATAGGTAAGTCCATGCCAATTGTGGTGTGGTATTGTTGTATTGATGATGAATATATGTAGATATTCATTGAATTGCATGATTGATGCTATGACACCTGGATGTAGGTGTGTGCTGTGTAAACCATAGCTTGAAACCAAATTTGATTGATTGTGGAACCGGTTGGTGGGAACAAAGGTTGACTAAAGCTTGAGGTAAGCCTTCGGACCTTGGGTGTAATTCCCTTGATTGTTCCACCAAGCCTTGAAAGGGTAGTGGTAATTATAGTGTATATAAATGCAATGAAATAGTGTAATGCTTTGTTATACGTATGTGTATTCATTTGGTGTGGCATAGGATGGTGTTTCCCTATGTGGTATGTTGCATGACAATGCGTAAATCATACTTGGTAGTTAGCTGGCCAGTAGGACTATTTGCATCTGAGTTTCCTTAGGACAGCTTGAGAGCTCGAGGGATTTCTCCTGGAGATGTGATTGCACTTTGCATAGATATGTATTTACTGCATTATTATTGTTATTGCTATTACACTGATATGGAACTGTGGGGTGGAGAGATGCTCCAAGGACCCCTGGTTTACTGGATATATTCGTATATCTTACCCCGTGTTATGGGGACCCCCTTTCACGTAAGGATGTTGCAGGAGCCACCAGTGGCAAGTGGCCATACTTGGACTAGTAGTGATGCATGAGGATCCTGTATTTTGATATTATACATGTTATTTTGTAGCTCACATGTATAGGATTGTCATTAATAAACAATTGATAGATGTATGTTCTGTTTATTTGGAATGGACTTAGCCTATGCTCATGCCTTTGGTTATCTCTTTGTTGATGGGAGCCAAGGGAGTGATCATAGTGTTTTGTAAGCTAAGTTCCATGAATTGTAATGAACATGTTTTGTAATTGATGATTACCTTAAGCTCATTATATGCATGCCCATTATGTATTGGATTGTTGAGCTGGAAAACTTGATTATATACTTATTGCTAAATTGGGGAATGTTGAGAAAACAAAGGTTATGCTGCCCAAATTTTAGTATAATCCATGAGGAGAGGTTTGATCCATTGAGGCTTGCCATGAGGATGCCCTTTCCCTAGTTGTGGACTTGAGAAATGAGAGAGGGAGAATTCCCTGGCAGCGCGCTCAAGCGCCCAGGAGCGCGCTCGAGCGCCCTGATGCCCCTGTGAGAGCTAAAGCTCTCTGCCTCCTCGCGCTGGAGCGCCCAGGATTGCACGCTTGAGCGCCCTGGTTTGCGCTGAAGCGCCCTTCGCTGCGAAAAGATGGGATGCTTACTGTCTCCGCGGGCTTTAGCGCCCAGAGTGGGGGCTTAAGCGCCCAGATTTGCGCGCTTGAGCGCCCTGGTTCGCGCTTGAGCGCCCTTAGCCACTGAAGGAGGAGATGTTTCTGCCTCTGCGCGCTAAAACGTCCCAAATGGGGGCTTAAGCGCCCAGGATATCGCGCTTGAACGCCCTGGTGCGCGCTTAAGCGCCCATTTACACTGAAAGACCTGATGCTCTCTGCCTCCGTGCGCTTAAGCGCCCAGATGGAGGCTTTAGCGCCCTATAACGCGCGCTTGAGCGCTCGGTAGCGCACTGAAGCGCGCGGGGCCTGTGTCCAACATACACTTTTGTTGCTCTAATTTGTCATAACGCGAGCTACGGTGCTCCAAATGAGGCGCGGTTCGAAGCCACGCGTAGCTAATGATTAGAATAAGACATTTAATAACCTTTGGTCTAAGGATATAAGAGTATGATGTTAAGCTTAATTCATTTATTCCGCAATGTAATATAGTTATGATCACGCAATTGGGCATTATAATTTCGGCATGTTTTAAAATGAAAAATTTAACCGGAGTTTAATTGAACCCATGTGATTGTAACTGCGCTTAATATCATAATGCGATGTTAACAAACCGATTCTAGAACGGGGTGTTACATTTTATGGTATCAGAGCAGTTTCGTAGGGAATAAGTGTTAGTTATGGTTGCGTATGCTTAGTGTTTGAGGCTTTATAGTTGTTTTAGTAATCCTTATGATTATTGCATTTGTGATCACTAAGTGTGGGCCTGATCAACTCATTTCTTTGTGTAACATATGTAGTGACATGACGAGGCACCGAAACAACCTCGGACCATCAAACACCAATGCTCAGCCAGAACCTGTTTTGGATGCTCTTGTGAGGCCCAGAAGTGGCCGTGGGGCAATGGGCGTACAACCTGATCCCGTGGCTGAAACTCTTGCAGCCGTTCAGAGGGAGTTGGCTGCTAGTAGGCAAGCCAATGAAAATCTGTTGAAAACAAATGAAGACTCGCGGAATGCTATGGCCGCGATGATGACCGAGTTGAGGACGTTGAGGGGTGCTAGGCCCGTGAACCGGCATCCCACTCCTCCTCCTCACACGGCTACGCCTTCTCCACCTCCTTCACAAGAAGAGGGTGTAGCGGGTAACAATGAAGGTGAAGCTAGTCATCCTTCTGGAAGCCACAGTCATCACACAGAGGTTCGTCAACCACAAGTAGAGCATGTTGATGAACATGAAGCTGAAGAGAGAAGATTGATGGCTTTTCGGAAACATAAACCTCCTACTTTTAAGGGGGTTATGATCCAATGGCTGCAGCAAAATGGCTTCAGGCGATGGAGAAAATCTTCAGGGTGATGAGATGCCCTGATGCAATGAAGTTAATCTACTCCGTGTACATGCTGGAAGAAGAAGCGGAGGATTGGTGGACTAATACCGTACAGCCCCTAGAAGCTGAAGGTCGGGAAATCACCTGGCGGTTGTTCGAGACATTGTTCTTGGATAACTATTTCCCTAGGGAGGCTAGGGAGCAGAAGCAGAATGAATTTAATGATTTGAAACAAGGGTCGATGTCAATTGACCAATACTTTGTTAAATTCAATGAGTTGGTGAAATACGCCAATTATGGGAGAGCTTTACCCACTCTAACTGAAATGACCTCCAAGTTCCAATGGGGTCTGAACGAAAAGATGTCTCGGAAGATGTCAAACTGTGACATTCGAGAATTTAGTAGATTTGTAAATCAGTGTCGAAAGGTGGAAGAGGTATACAAGGGGTCACAGATCAAGAAGCCTTCTGAGGCCCAGACACCGAGTGCCAATAGAGCAACAGGCTCAAGTTATTGGAAGAACAAGAAGATGAAAGGCAAGAAGCTAAATGTGAATAGTCCATTAGACCTGTTTAAAAAGCCCGGAACTCCGAAGACTTTTGTTGATAAGGGACCTCCTCCCAAGTGTAAAGGATGTGGTAAGGAGCATAGAGGTCCGTGTTCTACAGGTGAAGTCATTTGCTATAAATGTGGAAGATCCGGCCACTATTCCAGGCAGTGTCCTCAGAATGAAGTGAGGACTATGGCAGTTCAAGCTACTGCTGTTCCTGTCTTTGTTGTTCCACCTATGCTAGAGTCCCAGACGGTTGGTAGAGTGTATACCATGGACCGTCAACAATCGGAGAAGGCTCCGAATCTAGTGAAAGGTACAATTTATATTGATAATATGGATGTTGAAGTGTTGTTTGACTCAGGAGCTACACACTCCTATATGTCTGATCTTATGGCCGTTGGGCTAAATCTGCAAATGTACGACATTCGTCCTCCAATGAAAGTGGTTACTGCTACTGGAAAGGAATGTTATACATCCGTGTTATGTAAAGATGTTGAGTTCAAGTATGAAGGCCGAGATTATGTGCTGGATTTTATTTGTTTACCTATGATCAGCCTTCAAGTTATCTTGGGAATGGACTGGTTGTCAAAGAACTGTGCCATGATAGACTGCTGTGGTAAAAGAATTGTGCTTGCTGTTGATGATTCTGCTACTAGTTCTTCCCCATATCTATCTGTGTTGCAGGTTAGAAAGGCTTTGAGGGCCGGGGCATTGAGATATGTCTTTGTGGGGGGTTTAGTAGGCGGAAGTCATGAGGAGATTGGCACTATTCCCGTGGTGAAGGAGTTTATGGATGTGTTTTCGGATGAGATTCCGCAACTTCCACCTCATAGAGAGATCGAGTTCATGATCGACTTGTTGCCGAGTGTGGGGCCTATTTCTTTGGCTCCATATCGGATGTCACCACCGGAATTAGCCGAGTTGAAGAAGCATATTGAGGAGCTTTCGGCTAAGCAGTTTATCAGGCCAAGTGTGTCCCCGTGGGAGCACCAGTTATATTTGTTAAGAAGAAGGACGGTAGCATGAGATTGTGCATTGATTACCGTCAGTTGAATAAGGTTACTATCAAGAACAAGTATCCTCTCCCTCGCATAGATGATTTGCTTGATCAGTTGAGGGGTGCTTGTGTTTTCTCAAAGATTGATTTGAGGTCGGGTTATCATCAAATCCGAATTAGGCAGGAAGATATACCGAAGACTGCCTTCCGATCTAGATATGGACATTATGAGTATCAGGTAATTCCATTTGGACTCACTAATGCTCCGACGGTGTTTATGGATTATATGAATCGCATATTTAAGCCGTTTTGGATCAATTCGTGATTGTGTTTATTGATGATATTTTGATATATTCCAAGAGTAAGGAAGAGCATGAGGGCCACTTGAGAACTGTGTTGCAAGTTCTCAGGGAGAAACAGTTGTATGCAAAGCCTTCTAAATGTGAATTTTGGCTTTCTCAAGTGCAATTTTTGGGTCACGTTATTTCTGCTGATGGAGTGGCGGTTGATCCTAGCAAGATAGAGGCAGTCATTGATTAGGAGAGACCCAAGACGGTAACGGAAATAAGGAGTTTTCTGGGTTTGGCTGGTTGTTACCGGAGATTCATTAAAGAATTTTCGGCCATGGTGTTGCCATTGACCCGTTTGACCCGGAAGGATACTCCATTTATTTGGACGCAGGAATGTGAAGAATGCTTTCAGGGCCTTAAGGAGAAATTGGTGACTGCTCCGGTGTTAGTACTTCCCTATCTGGAAGGTGAGTTTGAGTTATACAGCGATGCTTCTAAAAAGGGACTGGGTTGTGTGCTGGTGCAGGATAGGCGAGTGGTAGCGTATGCATCAAGGCAATTGAAACCGCATGAAGAAAATTATCTGACCCATGACCTTGAGCTTGCTGCAATTGTTTTTGAATTGAAACAGTGGAGGCATTTCTTGTATGGAATGAAGTTTGCCATATTCAGCGATTATAAGAGCTTGAAATACTTGTTTGATCAAAAGGAATTGAATATGAGACAACGACGGTGGACCGAGTTCCTAAAAGACTATGATTTTGAATTGAAATATCATCCTGGCAAGGCTAATGTTGTAGCTGATGCACTGAGCCGAAAATCTGTGAGCTTAGCAAGCATGATGATTAGAGATTATGATGTGATTGAGAGGTTCAGAGATATGCAATTATCTAAAATCTTTCCATGTAGAATTTGTGGCATCGAAATTACAAGCATTGAAAATGAACTGATGATCAGAATTAAAGAAGCTCAACTGCAAAATGAAAGTGCTAAACGACTGAAAGGTCAGAGTGGTGTATCCTGCAATGATGAGGGTATACTATTATATCAAGGCCGTGTTGTTGCACCTAGGCAGTTGACGGAGGAAGTAATGACAGAGGCCCATAAGGGTCATTTCACAGTTCATCCGGGAGCTACAAAGATGTATCAGGACCTAAAGATTAATTTCTGGTGGCCTGGTATGAAGAAAGACATTGCCGAATTTGTCTCTAAGTGTCTCATTTGTCAGAAGGTCAAGATTGAGCATCAAAAGCCTTCTGGTATGTTGCAACCTCTGGATGTTCCTGAATGGAAATGGGAGAGTATCTCCATGGATTTCGTAGTGGGATTGCCGCGAACACAGGCTAGTTATGATTCTATATGGG